AGAACCAAGTCTAAAACGAGGATCCAGAACAAATGCAATACCATAAATATGCGGAATATGTGAATAATATTTTAAAAACTTTTCCTTCATAAGACTAGCAAAATAACTCACATAATCAGCATTCTCAAAATTTGAAAAAGCACTGGCGAGATTAACAGCTTCACGAATCAATTGGTTTGAGGTAGGTTTATAAACATGATTAAAAGTTTCAGTTGCATTATTAAAATATATCAAAGCATTACAAATTTTTTCACAGGTGTCGATCTCAGCCGAGTTTATAATATAGTTATCATATGGTTTCATAAAAGCAGGAAAATGTTGTTTATATCTAAGAACAACTCCAATTAACTTATAGGTACTATTCCAACAAATAGACAAATCTTTAGGAAAAGCCACATATCTCTCACCTCTTTCTATCAAATAATCATGCCATTTTTTCCTAAGTTGTCCATTACCCCAAATACGTCTAATCCCCCCCCCCCCCCCCCCCCCCCCCCCCGACTACCTTCAACGATGCTCCCAACGCTTTTAGACCATCTTGCACACATAAATTTAGAACATGACATGCACATCGTTGATGAAAAAATCTACCCATCAAAGAAGTAGAACCACACAATTCACGTAATCTAGGAATAACAGTAGTATTATTAGTAGCATTATCAAAACCAATAGCAAACACCTTATCAATTAAATTATACTCAATTAAAATACGCTCAATCAAAATATAAATATGTTCAGCGGTGTGACGGTCATTAAATTCACGGAAAGCAAGAACACGTTTATGCATATGCCAATCATTATCAATATAATGTACAGTCAGACCCAAATAATGTAAATTATGATAAGTATCCTCCCATATGTCAGAACATACAGTAACACGTCCATCAAAGTTTGCAAAATAATTTTGTAACCTTACCTTTTCCGCACCATAAAGCCTTGAAATTTCTTTCTTAACCGTTTTGCGACTATAACCACTATATTGCGGATTTAAACAAGTTTGTGCATAATCACGAAAAGCAAGACTTTCAGAAAACAAATAAGGCAAATTTTCTTCAACAAGTAAGTTAGCCATACCAGTCAAATTTTGTGCATCATTGTATGAGAAATTACCAAAAGCTTGTTGGTTATTTGCAAACCTCGATATTTGAGTTTGCTTCCCCGTTCCGCCGCCTAATTTTGCTTACTCCACCGGGTGTTTGGACTTAAGGTGTCTTGTGGCGGATCCGTATCCGCCGGAAATCCCCAAGCTATAGTTTTTCTTGCACCAATTGCAAGTTGCGGTCCAATTCCCAGTGTTCGGGTCCTTCCACTTAGAAAAATTATTAGCCATTAGTTCAGATTTACTTTTTTCGTACCTGTTTGGCATGAGGCAGGCTTGTCGGCGTCATGGCTGCCGCCACCCTCCTCCTCCTCGTCGTCGTGGCTCTCCGGAATTACTTCCTCCACATCGGCGTCCTCGTCCTCGAGCTCTTCTTCGTCAATGGTCCTCGGTTGGTCTTGAAAAAAGCGGGAATTATATCGGTGCAATTCTTGTTCTAGTTGTTCGTCGGTCATCGCATCCCCATCCCTCCTTGCGTAACCCGTATCAAAATCATCTCGACTTTGAGATGAAGAGCCGATATGTGATTTACCTTTGCGGGATCTTTTCCTCGCAAGCTCTTTCGTTCGGTTGCGCTCGAGGTTACCCATATCAACTGAATATCTAGGACGATCCATCTAAAAAATGTAGCGATTAATAAAAATTGTAAAAAAGTAATTAACTATTAATCTAACTATTCATTCGAGTTATAGCAAATTAGTATTTTAAAGTTTACTTTAATCAAATTAAGTAATTAACTAGTGAATTAACTAGTTTTATGTACAACCTATTTTTTTTAGTAACAATGAAATTAATACACTTTAACTTTAACTATAATGAGAATTACCTAGTTTTTTAAACTAGAGTCAAATGTAGCAATTAATAAAAAATTGTAATAAAGTAATTAACTATTAATCTAACTATTAATTCTAGTTATAGCAAATTAGTATTTTAAAGTTTACTTTAATCAAATTAAGTAATTAACTAGTGAATTAACTAGTTTTATGTACAACCTATTTTTTTTAGTAACAATGAAATTAATACACTTTAACTTTAACTATAATGAGAATTACCTAGTTTTTTAAACTAGAGTCAAATGTAGCAATTAATAAAAAATTGTAATAAAGTAATTAACTATTAATCTAACTATTAATTCTAGTTATAGCAAATTAGTATTTTAAAGTTTACTTTAATCAAATTAAGTAATTAACTAGTGAATTAACTAGTTTTGTGTACAACCTATTTTTTTACTAACAATGAAATTAATACACTTTAACTTTACCTATAATGGGAATTAACTAGTTTTTTAAACTAGATTCAAATGTAGCAATTAATAAAAAATTGTAATAAAGTAATTAACTATTAATCTAACAATTAATTCGAGTTATAGCAAATTAGTATTTTAAAGTTTACTTTAATCAAATTAAATAGTGAATTAACTAATTTTGTGTACAACCTATTTTTTTTACTAAGAATGAAATTAATACACTTTAACTTTAACTATAATTAGAATTACAACTAGTTTTTTAAACTAGAGTCAAATGTAGCAATTAATAAAAAATTGTAATTTAACTTTAACTATTATGAGAATTAACTAGTTTTTTTTCAAGTAACGTTAATACAAAATTAAACAAGTGTAAATAATAGAATAATTTTGTACCTCTTTCGGACTTTCGGTCTTTCGGATGGGAGTAATAGAATGACTTCAAATTAATTAGATATAATTCCAACTATATTAATAGATATAATAAATGTATAAGTAATATATAATTAGATAACAAATATAAGTAATATAATATTATAATGTATGTATTTATAAATTATAAGTAGATAATTAATATAAAGTAGACATATAAATAATAAATATAATATATTGGAGAATAAGAGAATTAGAGAGTAGAGAGTTAAGAATAGGATTTAGGAAGAATTGGAGAAGAGATATGAAAAAATGTTTAAGATTAGGAGTATTTATAGGTTTTTTTACCCCCCAAACCCCCGGACCCCCCCCCCCCCCCCCCCCGCACACCACCCAACGGCTATATAGCCGTTTGGGTTGTCCCCAGCCCACCCCCAATGGCTATTTTGGCCAAAACAAAAATAAAATAAAATTTGACCGTTGGACCCGGACCCGGGCCCGACCCGGTCGGGCTGGGTCAACTTTTTCCGGAACCGAGCCCGCCCCGCCCATCCTCACCGGTTTCGGGTCTACACCCGGTCCCGGACCGCCAAACCGGGCTGGTCCCGAGCCCGCACAGTAGCGGGCCGGGCCGGGTCACGGGCCGGGTGGCCCGAACCGAATCCACCCCTAGTTAGATTGTTCTAATTTCCAAACTCCTTGGACTCCTTTGAGCGAAAACAAAGACCCCTCAGAAGATGATTGAGCGAAAAACGAAGACCCCACAGTGGCGACGTACGGCTCCCATGCTCGGGGCACCTAGGGCAGCCAACCAGCGCACCTGGAATTATTTCCCCGGGGACGTTCGTACCCACCATGAGATGAATGTCGAGTACGGACGCAGGAGATGCCTGCCTCCCCACGGTGGCGATGTACGGCTCCAATATTTCTCGGGGCACCTGGGGCAGCCAGCCAGCGCACCTGGAACCATTTGCCCGGGGATGTTCGTACCCACCACGAGATGAATGCCGAGTACGGACGCAGGAGACACCCGCCTCCCCACAGTGGTGATGTACGGCTCCGATGCTTGGGGCACCTGGGGCAGCCAGTCAGCGCACCTGGAACCATTTGCTCGGGGACGTCCGTACCCGCTATGAGATGAATGCCGAGTACGGACGCAGGAGACGCCCGCCTCCACAAAGTGGCAATGTACGGCTCCAATGCTCGGGGCACCTGGGGTAGCATCGGAGCCGTACGTTGCCATTGTGGGGAGGCGGGCGTCTCCTGCGTCCGTACTCGACATTCATCTCGTGGTGGGTACGAACGTCCCCGGGCAAATGATTTCAGGTGAGCTGGCTGGCTACCCCAGGTGCCCCAAGAATGGGAGCCGTACGTCGCCACTGTGGGGTCCTCGTTTTTCGCTCAACCATCTTTCGAAGGGCCTTCGTTTTCACTCAACCATCTTCTCACTGGTCCGCCATGCTGCCCTTGGGTCTTGTGCTACACGAGGCGAATGATCTCGATGAAGAACAGGCATATCCCCTAGGATTCCCTGGTTTTTCGCTCTACCATCTTCTCACCGGTCTTCTGTGTTGCCCATGGATCTTACGCGAGGCCGATGATCTTGATGAAGAACAGGTCTATCCCCTCCCTAGGATTCCCTAGTTTTTCGCTCAACCATCCTCACCGGTCCTCTATGCTGCCCCTGGGTCTTATGCTACGTGAGGCCGACAATCTTGATGAAGAACAGGTTATCTTGGAATGCAGCTATCTACCTTTCCGGGTTTGGTACCCTGGGGCCGAACGTCCCATATTGGGACAAACCTCTTCTCTTATTGGGACGAATTCTCATCCACATTAGGGATGAATGATACATAATACTTTTCATAGTTTACCATTTCACTCGAACTAGCTTAAGCTAATTCTTCACCGCTGCATTTTTCCTATGAGCTTTAAAAAAAATAAAAACAATCATCAGCGAACAAGAGTTATTTGTGGTGCTGCCTTAGCCATGGTCACACCATGTAATTCCCTCATCACCTCTTACTTAACCCCTCTAATGCAAGAATAAAGAGGTAGGGTGATAAGTTAACTCCCAGTCTCAACCCTCATTTAGGATTAATAGGGTCCAAAATTGACCTGTAAAAAGGAATTTGGTAGGAGATTGAAGTAACACATGCCATAACCACCTTTACCCATCAAGCTGCAAAACCCATCTTGAGCATAATAGATTGTAAAAATCCACTCCGCTATCATAAGCTTTATTCATGCAAGCTTTAATGCAATAAAACCTTCATTGGCATGTCTTTTCCGCTTCAAGAAATGTAGTGTTTCAAAAGCAATCATCACATTGTACATAGTGATATGGGACACCAATCCCCTAACACTTCCGGTTTCTCTTTTTATTTGGTATGAGGACTAAATTAGGGTAACAAATACTTCACACATTTGTGCATAATGACAAAAAGATCATAGTATTACTGCACAAACACAGTTCTCAATGACAAATTATTTACCACCATTCAAAATAAATGATAATGATGCAAAATACTATTAGGTGTAATTAAAACACACTTCATTGCATCATAAGGTGTAAAAAGGGTCTCTATTTTATTACACAGAAGCCAACTACAGTGTCCAAGACCCGAAGAACAAATACAATTTGAGTCTACAGCAAACATTACCTCATAAACATCAAACCCCAAACCAAATGAGCAGTCCTTTGTGGTTATAGAATGTATGTGTGCATAAATATGATTTCAGAGACAAAACAACCCAATCAAGTTTAACAATGACGTTTTGATGACATTGAGTAGTGCCCCCTACGTAGGCAAGATAAAATCCAAAACCACAACAAGGTTAATATCTTCAGAAAGGTGGAATAATAGATTCTATAAGATCTTGGAGTGGAGCAAGCTCCTTCTTGTCAATAAGCCCAAACTCCTGCAAAATCCAAATAACTCATCATTAATACAAATAAATGGTGAAACATTTTATTTCACACATAAGAGTAAAAATTGATCGAACCTTTTTTTCCTTCAACAAGGACACGAAATATTTTAATATCTAATGACATCTAAAACATGCTAAAATAGGGAGCAGGGGAGGGGAAGAAAGCATTTGAGAAAAGAGAAAGGTAGTAAAAAAGAGATGAGTTTCGGGTTCAAAGATTGAGGGAACTCACATGAGTAAAAAGTATGAAATGCTTGAAGCAAGTATTTAGATGGGCCTCTTCCTTGAGACTCACAATCTTCTGAAAATGAGTGTGATAAATATGAGCATATACACGAAACAGCCGCTTAAATATCGTCTTCACAACATCCTTGAAGTTGGCGGGAAATGGTGCACCTAAATTTATCATAGGAATCAATAACTAAATAAACATTCACTTCTCTTGATAGTAACAAAATGGGTGGAAAAAAAACAGGGCACTATAAGGCCTGTAACTAAATATCAAAATAAGAATATAAACTACCAAGCTTTTGAGGAAAAATTGATTCGTCATCCAACTGGCCCTCAATCCAATCCATCAAATACTCAACATATTTTGGTGCCGAAACTTCAATAGGTTTCTTGATCTGCACACCATCTGCCCACCTATACTCGTACCTGGTCTCATCCACAAAAAATTGGATGATATTGTCTCTCAACTTATTATTACCTACGTTTCTCGCAATGCCCAACCACACTAAAATTCAAAACTTCCCACATGATATGTTAACAATAAAATAAAGGTATTTATCTAGCTGGTCCAGAGAAATATACAAGGGAATCTGGTGCAGAGCTATATATAAGTGCAGTTACATAATGTTAATTGAATGTTGATCAAAACCACAATTAAAAAAAACTGTCAAATAAGCCCTCATACTATACCTCAAATGTTGATTAAGTCCTTGTACTTTAAAAACACCCAATTGGATCCATGTAATCCTAAAATACGCTCAATTAAGCCATTTAGCAGGTTGCAGCCGGTTTCCAGGGAAGTTGCTTGTGTGGCAGCCTGCATGGAAAGTTCTTCTTTTTTCTTTCTCTTCTCTTTTTCTTTTTCTTTGCTTTCTTCTTTCTAGTACGGACGACGAAGGTCTCTTCCCTTCCTGCCACTACCACCTTCCTCTTATTCTTATTTCTGTTTCATAACTCCATTTGGTCAGGTTGAAAACTGATTTGAAATTTTATTTTAGTTGATCTGGGTTAAAAATCAGATCTAGAGTTTCCTTCTTCTGCTTCGCATACATCTCTTTCTTTTTCTGTTGTGTTATATTTCTTTCTTTCTTTGTTTCTCTTCCCTGTTGGATTTTCTATTTTCAGCAGCTCCTCGGGACACCAGTTAATTCCGGATGAGAAAAGGCGACCAGCAGCGAGGCAACCGGTGGCAAGACGACGATAAGATGATGAAGAGTGACCAGAATCAAGACGAATAGACAATGTCCAACCCGGGAGGAGTTAGTGACGCTGGCTTGGGGGTGAGTAGACCGACCTGGAGTCTCGAAGTCTACCCCTGAAGAACGGATGGCAAGTTTAGAGTTGACGTGCACACAACATATGCCTCCTTCACGCAGACAAAGCCACCACAGGGAGAAAGACAATAGCTTTATGTATAACTTACTTGCAGCAAAGAAAAATTGCAGTATGAAGCAAAGAAGGAATGAGATTGAAGGCTTCTTGAGTGGGCAACCCATGGTTATTTATTTTTGCAATAAAGAAAAATCAACAGAGGAAGAATTAGGAGGTCGTCTTAAATGGCTAAAGTAGAGAAATATCTGACATCAGATAGAGTAGCTAGCAGCGCCAGCTTGGGGTGAGTTGACTGACCTGGAGATGAGAGTACCGCTGCAGTGAAGGCCGAAGCTTGGAAGTGAAGCAGCGATGAAGACGAGAAAGCTTGACCACGCGCGAGGAAGACAGGAAAGAAAGAAAGAAAAGAAAGAAAGAGACATAGAAAAAGGAAAAACAAAATAAATGCCACACGGACCGCCACGTATGCAGGCAATCGGGATTCGGGAGACCGGCTGTTAACCTGCTAAACAGCTCAATTGAGTGTTTTTGAGAGTACGGGGATTCAATTGGGTGTTTTTAAAGTACGAGGACTTAATTGACATTTCCGGTATAGTACGAGGGTTTATTTGACAGTTTTCTCAAAAAAAAAGCATTCGTGCTTCACTTAAACCACATCACTGGATAAACTTCATGATATAATTGAAATGACAAACTCATACAGACTATACAGGCTTGCTGAGGAGCGATTATTGAAAGGGAACAGTTCCGGAAATCAAACAACCTACTAACGACTACTCTGATACAAATACTGAGATCGTAGAAAATATAAGGCTATGCTTGGGTGTAGGATACTGCCGGGGGTCCTATGAGTAGTTATTCTCTTCTGTTTGGTTTTCTCTTGGAAAATGCAAAGGGAGATGGAATATTATTAGTGTTTTTCCTTAATAGTATATATTTGTGTTTCCTGCTCCTATGAAATAGAAATAATTTGTTGAGTTTGAACTAAAGTTTTACCCCCACATTTTTTTCATTCAAAAATGCCCCCCATATTTTCCTCTCTATTTAGTTCCTATCACTTTCCGATTTCTAAACTGACCATTATAAAACCCAAGAACTATTTGATTCGTTATTGCAAAGAAATCTTCCACAATAGTAACAGATCTAACATACTTAGGGCCAGCTGTCATTGTAGGGCAGTTCTCAGGTGTGCAAAACTCTGTCAGTGTGCCATAGAGCAGATTAACCTGGTTGAAGAAATCCACCGCTGAAAAAAATAACCTTCATTCAGCTAACAAAGTATAAGAATAATAGTCATCATCATCATTACCCCAGTGCCGCAAAGGCTCCCACCTACGGTGGGGTAAGGGGGGTCGGATGTACGCAGTCTTACCCCTGCACTAGAGCACAGAGAGACTGCTTCCGGATGACCCATAGTGAAAAACGCGCCGAAAATTGCATGGACCGACTGCTGCTTCATAAAAAAGAAGCGCAGACAGTTCAGTGAACCATTTTGCTTTATTCCATCATATTCCCAAGCCAAAAAATAGTGAGTCTTTGGCTCCATTGCAAATGATGGAAAGAAAGTATAAGAATAATAGTACAAAATAGAAATAGGGGAAGACTTGAAATGAATTTTAGTGCCTGTCTAAGTAGCATGCAAACACAAAGTGGGGCACATGAAATGGGAAACAGGATTAACATATCTATATATATTTCTTTCATATAGAATAACATATGTTTTCATAGACCTTTGTTTAGTAACCAATCATTCATATGCACATATGGTCTATTGTTCAAATTTAGAAATTACTCCATATTACATATTAGTATATAATTAAACAAAAATGTATTACATTTCTAGCAATGCATTGCGCTATGAGACATCACAATGTTGCTAGAATCCACTAAAAACTTTAAAAACAAACACTATTTTCCATAAAAAATCCCATCAACAATGGGAAAAATGGCAACTCAAAGTTTCTGAAATGCTAATTTAATAGAGAAAGGGTTTCCCAATCTATTTTATTATTGAAACGGCCTCGAAATACAAACTTATTGTTTCCGAATTTCTGACAAGCTTATAAATCTCCAAAACAGGGAAATATGAGTCGTGGGAAGTTTCTGTGCTTATTAGGTCCTTTTGGTAAGAATTATTTGGCTTGAATCTGCTGAATTTTTGGACAGGATAAGGGTTTTGGTGTAATTGACATAAGCAAATCAAGCATTTGGGGGCATTAATCTTCATATCATGTAAATAGAACACTACCAAAGGAAGCCAAATACACACAGCTTATCCATGGAATAATTGATATCCATTTGTGGAACCTTCATTTACGATGTTGGTTAATACATGCCAAATCTAAATTTGAAAAGGTATATTTTCCCCTATACCACTCCCGCGCTTTTTTTCAACATGAGTTGTGAATTCTACTTGAACGAATCCAAGATATGCCGTTATGTGTATGAAAAATTAAACCAGTTAAACAAATACAAAAGGATGATAAAGGAAGGGCAGTTGATCATGTATGTAACAACACAAGGGGTGGGGAGAGTAAGCATACTATTGACAGCAAGCCACTCATTAATGTCCTCTCCAGGGGGGAGCCTTACAGCTTCTCTTAAGTTTCCACTTCCTAAAGTTGCATCAATGTGCTTTCTTAATTGTGCTCCCTGCGATAGTGGGGAAACAATATATAAATACATATATATATAAAGAATTAAAGATGGCTCAACTTTGAACCTATTAGACTGTGAAGTTTCAATTGTTTAAGGGAACAGACTGGTTATATAAAAATTTCATCAAATGGGCCTCCCCTCCATTTCCCCCAATCTCTTCGCTCCAATTCTCTTTCCCATCATTTCCCATGCGCATAAGCCCCTACCCACCTCGCTTTCAGAATTTTAATTTCATCATGAGGAAACTAAAACACAATGGAACAGTAATTTCCCAAATGTTCATAAAGGGGAAAACAAAAACTATGCAAATTAAACAAACCTTACTCCCTGAAGGGGCACTTTTTTTAGGGCGGAATGTTCTCTGGTTCCTGAATATATATAGCAGGTTAGGCATTAAAAATGAACCAAGAAAGAGTAATTTAATAAAGTAAACAAATCATAACTAAGTGGCACAATTGAGCCACTCTGGTCATAATAAATTCCACCATATTCTCTAGGAACATGTAAAGCCCATAGAGAGAACATGTTAACTCGGCAAATATATAAAACACACATGCACGTGGCACGCATAAAAGCCCGACAATCAACATAGCACTATATCCCTTTACACACAGAGCAAGTGATGATCTTTACAGTTAAATGGATTCATTTTGATTGGGCACACAACTAATATGGGCTTCCCCACATCTCAAATTTTAAATCCACCGGATCCATATTCGTTTAACACTAAAGGTTCTAGCTTCCAGATCCAAATATGTGGATTCCCGTAACAACAACTCCTTAATTAAATTCAGTAGCATATGTCTGGGAAGACAACCAAACCCAAGAATCAATCATTTATCAATATATCAATCGATAAACATTTCACGACTCATAATTAGTTGGCATCAGCACAGGACATCATAAATAAAATTAAACATTTAATTTTGTAATATTGATCTGGCTTACCTTCCAATCCCAAAGAGACTCATGGTTTGAGACTGACAAAGAGAGGGTACCAACGATCGGGCCTTGATGTCGGGGAAGATAGTAGATGGGTGAAAACGAGGGAATCATCAAGGAGAGAGATGGGGATAAAGCGGGCAACGGAGATAGGGCTGCCCTGGCCCCCTCGGAGCGTAGATGCCTTGTAGAGTTGTACGCATGATTCGCGAGATGGAAGGGCCTAAAGCTACACAATTTAGGATTTAGAGTTTAGGGTAAACCCTAAACATATACTCCCTCCGTCCTGTCGGAATGTTCTCACTTTCCTTTTATGGATATCCTGTTGGAAATTTCTCATTTTCCTAAATGGAAAGTTATCTTAAATCAAAATAGAATCAAACAGTACAAAACAGTGTCAAATAGTGTCGAAACAGTGTCGAAACAGTGTCAAAACACTAAAATTTACCCCTGGTAAGTTTATTTCTGATGGATAGTCTACCCGGGGGTATATATCCGAAGGGTTATTACGGGAATAACTTAGAGAGAAGTCAGAGCAAGTAAATAAAAGTAGAGAGAGAGTGTATTCAGTATGAATGCCGTTTTCAGCGTGTTATGACTTGGTTACAAATGGGGAAAAGGGGTGCTATTTATAGTAGCAATAAATGCCGGGTAGGGACACTTGTCAAGCGCTCATTGGCCGAGGGGTCACCTCAACTGGTTGGCGCTGGCAGCCGCATGTGGCCGCATTTAATGCGGCTGTTGGATGGGACGTCTGTGCGGGGTACGGTGATCTGTACGCATGTGAGGCGGATATCTTGTCGAGTGAGACGCCTTCGGCTATAGAGCAGTAGCCGAGGGCTCTTCCACCCGATGGCACCCCTGGTGCCGAGGGCTCACGGTGCCGAGGGCTGCTGTTTTCGCCGTTTTCTCCCAGTTTCTTAGTTTGCTTGAGAAACCCGTTCTGTGAGAATTTGGAGCCTTCGGCCAGGGGGCCGAAGGCACCCCTGGCGCGTTGTGCGGACTGCTTGGTACTCTGGGCGCTGTGATTTGGGCATGTTGGGCCTGTTGGGCCTTTGATGGAGCAGTAGGAGTCTGTGGGCCGGGGGTTCCCGGGCCATATACTCCATCAGGAGTCCCTCACTCCTTTTGCCGAAAGGTACTTGAGGGAAAAGGAGTAACTTGTGCTTGCCCTTTGATGTTGTCCCATCGTGATTCCTGAAGTTGGTGAGGAGTTGTTGCTTTTATGTCCCTGCCGAAGGCAGTCCCTCAGTTACCCACATGTCGGGACTTGAGGGCTTGCTTTGTTGTTTGTTGGAATTTCACAGATTTTGTAATTTAATGATTTTCCCGAAGGGGTCCTCCAGTCCCCCACTCCTTGAGGCACTTGTAAAGTGGTGAAAAGGAGTAAAGTAGTTACGTTGCCGTTGTGGGCCGAAGGCTGACGCTTTTCGTTTCATTTTGGGGGGATGCCTCGTTAAAAACCTCATTAGGAAAAACCCTTTGGGAAAAAATCCTAATGAGGGAAAAAGAGTGCACTGAATTCCCCCAATGATGAATCGAAAATGTCAAACCTTGGTAAAAAATGGAGAATGGCGGGAATACCGAAGGCTCTCTCTTCTGAGGGCTCCTGTGTTGATTAGCCGAAGGCTTGCTGTTGATGTCCTGGTGGCGCCGAAGGGGAGCCCCTCAATCCAGGGATCGAGGGCCTGCCGGATGAGGGCAGCAGTGAAGTTGTTACCGGGGGGTCCACTGTTTGTTGATTAGTTGGTGATGAAGATACCCGAGGGCTCCCATTACCTGGGTGTCATGGGTCATCCGTCAATGAGGCACTCCCCGGGGGCTACCCCGTTTTTGCAGTGCTGAGGGGGAATCCCCGAGGAGTTCCCTGATATGAAGACTCGGGTTTCTGAAGGAGTGATCCCGAAGGCGACTGTTATGTGCTGTGCGGGGCACAACCCGGGGGCACTTCTGAGTGAGTGTACCCGGAGGCTATCCTTGATGAAGAGGAGTGAAGTAGAAAACCCGGGGGCTTCCAGAATATAGCCGTTGGAAATATAGCCGTTGGAATATGTAACGACAGGATATAGCCGTTGGGGGGGTGGCACACGTGGCGTGTGATGGCTGGCTGTTTGTGGGCGGCGTCACCGGTTGGGTGAAACGACGGTGTGTAATGATGACGGTCCGTCCGGAGGCCCGGAATCCAGGCCCAAGCCCGGATTCCATCGCCTATAAATACCCCAAGGCCAGAGCTATTCCCGCTGTGCGAACCCGGTTGTCTTAGCGAAGCTCTGCCAAAAAATCTAGTGAGAGAAACTCCAGCCTTCGGTCCTAACTCAGCTTTCGAGGTCAGTGCTCCCTGCCTTTCTCCTTCTAGTATAGTTGTACATTGCGCCCTCGGTTTAGGAGATAGAATTCACTAGAAACTTTAGTTCCCCCGAACCCTCGAGCTAGAGATAGAATGTCGTCTCAGAGTGACTCTCAGGACATCTCGAGGACGCCCTCGATGGAGGACGAAGGCATCTCCGACGTGGAGTCCAGTAGCGCTCAGCCCTCGGAAGGTGGTGATGCGGCCCTCGCCACTGAGGTGCAGAAGGATCTGATGGCCGAGGCCGAGGCGGAGGAATTCGAGAGGACCGCGGAAGATGAGGAGTTGGCCCTCGCCGTCCAGATTGCTGAGGAGGAAGAGGAGAAGGAGAGGGCGAAGGTCACTGTGGCCGTCCTTCCCCCTCGGGGTGCTGGTGAGGCCAGTACCTCCCAGCCGCTGAATGCAGTTCCCATCCGGGTGGCCCCCGGGAAGAAGAAGAGGAAGACGAAGGTTGGCCCCCAGAAGAAAGTAAGGGTCGTCGATCAAGGGGGGCTAGTAGATCTGCCGGAGGGTTACTCCTTCCTGGACACCGCCGCTCTGGAGATTAAGTCCCAAGCTGACAGGGCGGATATCTACATCACCCAGTTGCACGTAGGGCCTTCGGCCGTAGTAGTCGAGCCGGGTCCTGATGACGTGCTGTCGCGGCCCCCCGAGGGATGTATAGTCGTGCACGTGCTCTCGGTCTCAATGGGCCTCCGGTTCCCTCTCCATCCGTTCCTCCGGGAGTACCTGAGGTACACCGGCCTGGTTCCCTGCCAATTGACCCCCAATAGCCACTCGTACATAACTGGGTTCGTGAACCTGTGCAAACTCCGGGGGGTTACACCGAGCTTGGAGCTATTCTTCCAAAGCTTCAACCTATGCCGGGGGGGGGCATACCAATGCCGAGGGCTATGCGAACTTACAGCAGATGGCCCAGTTCAAATTGTTCACCGAGGCCCCTTCTTCCAACGAGGGGTGGAGAGAGCGATGGTGCTACCTCAGACTGGCCGACAGCCCTTTCCCGAGGGAGTTGCGGAATTGCTTTCGGCGTCATGTGAAGGTCAAGAGCGCCGCCCTCGAGAAGGATGGCCTGAAGATTGCCGAGATTCCGGAGGGGCGGGATAAGAACATAACCATCAAGCAGTGCATCCTCGAGAAAGACCTGTACGCCCTCGGATTCCTGAGGTATCGGTTCATTGGGGAGACCGAGGAGAAGTATCCCATCTATGATAAAGCCTTCGTGGGAGCAGGAGGTAGTGGCCGGGGGCTTTACATTTTTGTACTTTGAGATTTTCTGTCATGTTTGCTGTCGTGTCTCGGACCCCTCGGTGCTAACCTTTTAACTTGTTGTTTCTTTGCAGGTAGCAGGATGAATGCCAACGCCCTGTTCGCGAAGAGGAAAGGCAAGACCCAGCCGAAGGAGAAGGGGCCCTCGGGCCAGAAGCCATTTTTCCGAAGGTCGTAGAGCCTTCCGCCGGGGACGCCCATGCTGCTGTGGGGACCGGGGGGTCGAAGGCCGAGGCGGCCGCTAAGAAGAAGAGGAGCGACAAGGAGGTGGAGCCCCCCACCAAGAAGCAGAAAGGCGCCGTGGGTGCTGTCGGGGGGCGGCCCCCCTCATAATTATTGATGACATGCCTGCTGTTGATGGGCCTCTAGCCTCGGTCCCTCCGAAGGATCCGGTGAATCCCCCCCGGGAGGAATTACCCCGGGAGATCCGTCAGCTCTCCTTTGCCCCCGGCGCTTCCCTGATGCATGGTACTGCCGAGCCGAGGAGCTTCCTTCGGGGCATCACCTCGAAGATGGACAGGGAAGTCTTCGAGACCTACGATGATGATGCCCTCGAGAACAGGATCCTCCGGTCCTCTCTCACTGTAAGTATCTGCTTCCTTTTCCCTTATCTTATCAGTTTAGTATTATCTTTCCCTGTGGAATAATCTAACTCCTTTGATCGTCGTTTGCAGGCCTGCATAGCCCTCGGGGAACAGGCCCGGAGACGCGAAGAAAGGCGCCTTCACGAGGCCGCCCAAGATAAGAAGGTGGAGGGGCTGATCCGCAAGAACTCCGAGGCGGTGAAGCATGATGCACAGCTGGAGGAGGCTCTTCAGGAGGCGAAGGCGGCGGCGGAGAAGGCCAAAGCTGACGGCATAGCCGAGGGCAAGGCGGAGGCCGAGAGGGCTGCTGCCGAGGCGGCGAAAAAAGCTGCCGAAGAAGCCCAAACTGCTAAGGAGAGAGCTGCGGCCGAGGCCCGAGGTGAGGCAGTTGCGGAGTTCCTTGCTGAGGGTTGGAGGGCCGAGGGCCACAAGGAGTGGGTTGCCTCCGTGGTGGCAGCCTCGGTGGACGCTTGGGTAGAAGGCCCGGGGGTTGACTGGTTGACTGACAGGGGGGACGCCTACTACCAGGGGGTGAGTTCTTTACCCAGCACCTGATCTACCGGAGGCTTGCCAGGCACTTCGGCGTGTCCCTCGAACAATTTGACCCCTCGGTATATGGCCTCCCTCCGTTGCAACCAGATGTCAGAGTTCCCCTCCCCCCGGGTGAAGAGCGGCCAACAATCTATGATTCTGTGATGATGGGGGGTGACGGGGGTGGAGCCGTCGGGGGTGATGCTGCCGGAGAAGAAGTCTCCTCCAAGGCTGTCGTGGAAGATGCCCCCGGAGACAACGAGGCTGAAGCCGCCGAGAAGATTAGTACTTAGTCAATTTTTGAAAAAGCCTTGTAATGAACATTTGTCACCCCTCGGCTTTGGCCATACTTTGTAATGATTACATTGACTATTTTCTGTTGTAATTGAATGATTGCCTTCGGGCTTTGTGTATATGATATGCTTCCTTTTGATTTGTTCATTGTCGAATGTATGCCTTCATCTTGCTTGGGATGTATGCCTTCTTTTTTTTGAATGTATGTTT